AATTGCCACAGTTCTCGTTCCGGTCGAGCTTTGTTCGGTTTTTGACAGTTTTGTTGCTATGGCAACCACGCCTGGATTTTAGCAAATTGTCTTCTCTTTTCTGTTTGTGAGAATATTCTAGAACTTTTTCACTCTGAATTGTTACATCAGTATCATTCAGTCGACTGTATAAACAGTCGAGTGCTCTATGAAAGCACTCAATCGAAGTGACTACAAATTTTTCATCCAATTTGGTTTCTGGCCAAGGTTCTCCGGTTGGTTCTCTAGATAGATAATCTACTATCCCCATATCCTTCCCTGGAATATGGACAATTTTGAATTCATAAGGCAGTAATCTATCCACCCACCTCGTTAATCGGGATTGATATGTTTTGTTAGACCTGTTGCCTTCTAAGGCAGATGTTAATGCCTTATGATAAGTGACTATTACAAATTCTTTTCCTAATAAGTAATGTTTGAAACGATCAACTGCCCACACTACCGCTAACAGTTCAAGCTCATTAGTAGAATACTTTTTTTCTTGATTATTCAGGTAGCGCGACGCGAATGAAATTGGCTGGGTCCGTCATATCTGCGCCCATTTGCGTTCCAGTTAGCGTTAGCCTCCAACAGGTTTCGCAGAGTTCTTGCTCTGTTTCTTTCCTGAGTTGTCATACTGGCTTGTTTGAAAAGGGGACTGACATCCCTGCTTTTCTGCCCTTTTTTGACAATCTTTAGGGAATCTCGAGATTGGTCAACCCTCTCCTTGAGTAGATCGTCATCCTCCGCTGTTAGATCCACTTCTATGATTGATTTCGTTGGTGAGCCTCTTGGGCTGCTCGTGACCATCTGAGTGATCGCCTCTAGCTCTTTGATGTTTCCGGGCATCTCCTGATCTTTGCTGACCAGATCCCAAATGGATAGCAAGTTTTTTGTTTCTTCGGCGTCTTGATCCCATATTACTGGTCGTGCAGCACAGCTGTCTTCCTCAAAGCTGTCTGACCCCGCTCTATCTAGTGTTCCTCTTCTAATCCGACATGTTCGACGGAAGGTAGTCTCGGTTATTTCTGCTTCCGTTAATTGATCGCTCTCCTCCTGTGTCCGTACAGTCTTCGATTCTCACTGTCTTTTTCTTCATTTTTCCGTCCTCCATTTCTTCTGAGTTTATTTTTCTGTTTTTGACTAAATTGACCGACTGAACTGCTCTATTGAAATTGACAAGAGTGTTCTGATTCAACACGTTATTGATAGGCAAAAAATTTGAATTGCCACAGTTCTCGTTCCGGTCGAGCTTTGTTCGGTTTTTGACAGTTTTGTTGCTATGGCAACCACGCCTGGATTTTAGCAAATTGTCTTCTCTTTTCTATTTGTGAGAATATTCTAGAACTTTTTCACTCTGAATTGTTACATCAGTATCATTCAGTCGACTGTATAAACAGTCGAGTGCTCTATGAAAGCACTCAATCGAAGTGACCACAAATTTTTCATCCAACTTGGTTTCTGGCCAAGGTTCTCCGGTTGGTTCTCTAGATAGATAATCTACTATCCCCATATCCTTCCCTGGAATATGGACAATTTTGAATTGATAGGGCAGTAATCTATCCACCCACCTCGTTAATCGGGATTGAAATGTTTTGTTAGACCTGTTGCCTTCTAAGGCAGATGTTAATGCCTTATGATCAGTGACTTTTACAAATTCTTTTCCTAATAAGTAATGTTTGAAACGATCAACTGCCCACACTACCGCTAACAGTTCAAGCTCATTAGCAAAATACGTTTTTTCTTGATTATTCAGGTAGCGTGACGCGAATGAAATTGGAATCCATTCGCTCTTTTCCGTTTGTTGCTCTAAAGATGCCCCTAGTCCACTATGGCTTGCATCACACTTGACCCGAGTATCCCTATTCGGGTCATAATAGTTCAGTTTATCAAAGTTTGCTACCGCTTGTTTGATTTCCTCGAGCACCTCAGTATGTTCGGGTCCCCATTCAAATTTTTTTTTACTGGGATTTTAATTTTTTTCAATTTTTCTTTTCATTTTCCTCACGCAATAATGGTCTAAGCTTGTCTGTCAAATTGGCTGCATTCGGTATAAACTTCGCGAGGTGATTAATACTACCTAGAAAGGATCTAAGTTGTTTGAGCGACTTTGGATGCTCTAACTTAAGGATAGCCTTAATTTTCGGGGTAACCCCACTTTCTGAAAGTTTAGGTCCGAGCCAATTTACTTCTGTTTTGAAGAAATCACATTTTGACAGCTTCAGAGATAAGTTTTCCTTATCTAGCTTCATTAGAACGTCGGTAATTAGTTTTTCATGTTCTAGCTCCGATCCCTTTGAGACGATCAGTATGTCGTCCAAGAAACAAAACGTATTCTTGGAATGATTTAACGTCCGATCCATTGCTTTTTGAAATTCGGCTGGCATATCTGCCAACTCATAGAATCCCGTCAGAAATCTATATGTGCCCGTAGCTTTCCCCCCTACGATGTTGAAGTTACACTGTCTTGCAGTTTGTGGAGTCAACTTTAACTGACTATATGCATATTTCAAATCTAACACAGTGAAAAACAAAGTACCTGCTGTTTGTGCAGTTACTATCTGACTAACACCGTCTAATAGCTCCTCCACATTCGGCATCTGATACTTGTTTTTATATAATTGTCTGTTGATGGGCTTTGCATCCAGAGCCAATTTAATTGAATCGTCTTTCTTCACTGTGATGACAATAGGGGCTATGAAACAATCACTGGTATACTTATCTAACTTCTGAATATGGCCTTCTGATAGTAATTTTTCAATTTCCTTCTCAACTTTTTCTTGCACATGGATGGGTATCCTCTTCCCGTTTTCCTGAATTGGGCAAAGAGGGTATTTGAACGTTGTATTTACGACATGATGTACTGATCGTCCTTTTCTGTCAAACAGTGGTTTAAAATCCTCATAGAATTTTTCTTTCCACGGCCCCGACTGTTCGCACAGCATTATATCAAATCGGGATTTCATCTTCGGGGCGGATCTTTGCGTAGTGGTTATACCCACTTTACTTTTTAAGTCTAACCCTAAAATACACCGTGTCCTTCGTTCAGTTATCAGAAAAGTGGCCTCCGGAACCTCCCAGCCAGCGGACCGTATATTTCCCTTCACAAGCACCCAATAATGCTATTGGTTTTTTTATTATAATCCACGAATTGTGCTGGTAAGTACAATTTTTCAACCGGAGTAAACTGTATTTTTCCTGATGAATCTGGAATCTGTTTCGCCACTGTCCAATTTATAAATGAAGTTGGGCTTCCGGTGTCCACGGTCATATTTATTATTTGATTATCAATTCGGATTAAAGCTTTCAGTGATTTCATCCTTCCCGATGATGAATCTTTCCGCATGTCAATCTTTTTCGTTTCGAGTTTGATTACTCCAGTGCTGCCACTGTTGTCTTTTCCTTTCTCATCGATGTATCGATTGATCATCTCTATCTGACTGTCTTTATGTTCAATTGCCATACCTCGAATTCTTCGCACGAATCAAATGTTTGAATCAAGGTACATTCTTTCTCAGAACTCTCTGTATTCTCAGTTATTTCACTGACTTGTTGTGAACGACACATTCGAGCAAAGTGGTTTGGTTTATTGCAGTTCTTACATTGTTTTCCCATTGCCGCACAATTTTTCAAATGACCGTCTACAAATGGTCTGCCACACCTGTTGCATTGTTTCCTATCATCTGCGTTATGATTGCTCGATATCGCCCTTCCTTCCGGCTGTTTCCGTCTATTCTTTTAGCGATAGGGCTTTCTAGTAATCTGATTCCTGTTTCCTACCACCAGAATCGGTTCCTGCTTGATTTTAATTTGGGACCCTGATTGAGTTGTTGCTTGAGCAGTACCCAGAGTGGATTTCTGAAACGCCTGTGTCGATTGTTTACTCTGCTCAAATTTTATCGCACGTTTTAATACTTCTTCGGGAGGTAACGTTTCGAACGTGAGCGTGTCCTGCAATGCTGGCCTTCGCATTTTAGAAATAAAAAGATCTCTGACTAACTCATCTTCTAAAGTGTCCAATGCCGATTTCGCTGCTTGAGCAGTTAGTGCGGCATGAAATGACTCTAATGATTCTCCTATTTCCTGCGATCTATTAAATAATTTGTACCGCTCATAAGTGATGCTCTGGCATTTTTCAAAAGTCATCTTTGCTAATCTAGCCATCTCTTTAAATTGCAACTTAGAAATCTCCACATGTGGATTTTTTGAACAAAACGTTTCTTTCCTTCCGTCCCAAACGCAAGAAATAGTCTGGATACTAATCGCTTTTGGACTTCGTTGTAGTAAATATTGTGACCCACTTTAGGTCCTCTTTCTCTCCTCTCTTCATTCTCGGCTGCTACTCGATCTTTTAATAGTCTGTCCCGTGCTTCTCTAGCTGCTGTTGCAGCAGCAGATTCGCCCTCTCTGGGTGTTTCTGGACGGGGTTCCGGCTCCTCTAACACTGGTTTAGGATCTTCCAGCATAACTTCTGGGTTGACATTTTCTTTTACAGTTACCGCCATCAGGAACTGACCGAACCATACTTCAAAATTCCAAGGTGGATCAGAGTTCGCTGTGGTCCAGTAAACAGGAATTCCCATGTCAGTTGTATTGTCCTGAGCAAAAAATCCTGCTGGCTGCGCCATGTGATATCCCTAAACTGCGTAGCGTGTTGAGGAATAAAAATAAGAAAAGATACTGTTAATTTACTGGTCTTGATCTTGTCTTTTAATGAAGTTAGTAGCTGAGATTGGTTACTGTTTTTTAGCATGAGATATAAAACACTGACCAATTCAACCATAACGTTTTAACAACACCAAATGGCCTTGACCACTCTTATATAATAATAGCATAATGGATATAGTTAGCACATATGGTTACTGCAGATGCAGTAGCTAGCAAACTGTCCTCAAGGTTATGTACTGCGGATGCTGCAATACCACAGACTTTTAGCATGTGATGAAATGAGAAGATTCATTTAGTCTGTCTGTTTTGTTCAGAAGTATCTTCGCAATGCCGATAACCTGAAGAGGGCCCATGCAGTGATGCGGGAGACATTCATGGATCTGCTGAGTGACAAGTTGGACAAAGACAGAGAGGAGATCCAGGAGAGAAGTGAAAAGTGGGAGGAGAAAATGAGGCTACAGGAAATAGAAATGGTAAGCACCCGCCAACTGAACAATATGCCCCTAAAGTAACCAGATCATTTTTCACCCCGGGTCCAGGTGCTAGATTGATAATTTCGATTTTCTCCACCAAAAATTGCAATGTTTCGGCCATCTCCAACAAAATTTTGGTATGTTTGGACTTTCACGGCTAGCTAACTTTCGGTAAGTTTCGACTTTCTCAACCAACTTTCGGTATATTTGGTTTTTCTGAACCCAAAAAAAGTGTTCGACTTTCTTGACTGTCTCGACCGACAATTTTTAAAATTTTATTTGTTCAACCTGCATGGAAAGGTCTCAATTTTTTCGACCCAAAATGGGTATCATTCGACTATGCTAGCTCTTTTTTTTTATTCTCTCGACCAAAAATGGGCATATTTCTACTGTGCTCGACCTATGTATTGGCTTTCTCGACCGAAATAGGGTATCTTTTGACTTTGTGCTCGACTTAAATCTTCTTCTCGACCGCGGATTTTCAGTGGAAAAACTGCACCTTCTCGATTTTCAAGTCAAAACTTAATTCGAGCACCTCAACCGGTTCACTAAGACTCAATCGTAACTTGCAACCCAATAGATTAACGGCTGTATTCTGATTGGATAACGAAGTGCTACAAATATTAACACATACAATTCAACACCGTGCATTTTGATGCCTACCCGCTCTGAAGTTTCATGGATAATAATCGAATATATTGGATTTTCATTGTCAGTCTCTATGAAATAACAAACAAAAACTTTATCAAAAGGAAAATAATCCATTTTATTCGATTATAATGGATTAAAATGGATTAAAACTGATTAATCAATTTAATTAAATGTTTTTTTTGTCTTGTTTTCATTTTTTCATAATATTGTTAAACTTAAGTTAGTTATTTTGTTCTCTCACCAAATTTCATTTTTTCCTATTTTCAATCGCAATCGCGTTTATGAAAATTTACAAAAAGTTACCTATAGATTTTTGTTTTTCGAAAACGGATTTTTAATGGATTTTTGTTTTTAATGGATTTTTGTTTTTCGAAATTAAACGATTAAAATGGATTAAAAATCCATTACGTTGTCTAAATTTGCCATAATAATCGATTATATAGACAACATTTTTGTCAGCAAAAATCCATTATTTTCAATTTTTATCCATAAAACATCGGTGCAGGTAGTCATTTCACCATTTGCAAAGTAAATTCTGGACAGTTAAAGTCATTCGAAGTCAATTTCGGTTGGAAGGTCGATCCAGCACGCCTAACATTGTTTAAACAACATGAGCATTTCAGCACGAAGTCAGTTTCGGTCGGAAGGCCCAACCACCGTTGGAAGTTCGATTCGCCACGCCTAACATTGTTTAAACATTTCGGTCACATTATTAATTGAGCATTTCAGCACGAAGTTAGTTTCCGTTGGAAGGTCGATTCAGCGTTGGAAAGTCGATCCACCACGCATATTATTGCTTAAGCAACTGAGTCAAAATATTATTTGAGCATTTCAGAATGGAGTCAATTTCCGTCGGATCGTTAATCCACCACGCCTAACCTTGTTTAAACAATTAGGTCACAATATTAGTTGAGCATTTCAGCACAAAGCCAATTTCCGTCGGAAGGTCAATCCGCCAAAAACTAACAATTTTGAATTTAGTTTTTTGAAAACTTTCGTACGTTTTCATACCCACAGTGAAATCCCACAAAAACTATTTATTTAGTCAACAAAACAGTCGAAACTATGGCAAATAGAATCTACGAATATGTGGTTCATAATTTAAGAAACCCCATTACATTCAGGAGACGGCTTAATTTTTCGAATATTGTAAGGTCAAATTTAGTTATAAAACAGACCAATTCTCAAAACAAGCAATTTTTTTTTAAAACAATACAGATCACAATTGAGTACTCAGAATATGGAAAAAAGCAAGGTAATCTAATAGAAAAAAGTTTTTTAGGCTTTTAAAAAAAGATCGACCAAAAAACAAGTCTGCTCTTGTTAGGGTGAAGCCCTGAATGTTCCGACTGCCTTTTAAGATCTACGAAGCAGTAACAACTTGAAAAAAATTTATATGTACAAAAAAATTAAATGTACAAAGAGTTTTTTTATTTGAGACTCTTATGCGAAAATCATCCCCCCACACGCCATATGAAGTACATTTCTTAGACGGATTAAATCTCCGCTTACGCGTTAATAGCGCGAAAAGTATCGCGCGTTAATTTTCCCAACTAGGCCAAAATGGCTATCTTTAAACCCCATAACTTAACGAAAAATAATCACAGGTAAAATAACTTCAAATTTAAGCTCAGGCCAACAAAACCTTTTGAATGATATTTAAGAAATCCCGTGAAAAATGGCTAGTTAAAAAATTGAAACTTGTCAGAAGAAAAAACCAACCGGAGCAAAAATATTCCGTCATTTTCTCCGAAAGTAGTCGGAACATCAAGGCTGCTTTAATCCAAACAATTTTTTGAAACTTCCTGCTAGTATTTGGGTTGAGTTATTTTTACCCATTAAGACATGTTCAGGATGACAGAATACACACGAAACTTTTGAACTTGTAAATAACTGATAGTGCAGCTGCATTCAATGTCTTAAAATGAATGCAGTTAAATTGAAAACTTGCGTTAAAATGATTATAAGAAATAATGTTTTACATATTTCCTCTTTTTTCTATAAAAATCGAAAAATAAGCTAAATCGTAGGAGTTACATTGGAAAAGCATGTATCGGCAAATTCGAGCGCCAAAAAAATTGAAAACCGGGCGCCAAAAGCTTTTTGAAACTTACCATCTTACCATCTGAAACCTATAACCCATCTTAATACATTGGAAAACCTATAACCTATTTTAATACATAGCCAATAGACTCGATTTTCTTTCTACTCCTTATCTTAAAACATGGGGGTCTACGAGTACCCCCCTCTGCTCACTCTTCAATTAGCTAATTAGTCAAGATCATGAGCAAATTGTCAAATCTACATCTAATTGTCCCCGATCAAGGGCAAAATGAAACAAATTTTGTAATTGAAAATTTTTGTTGTACATAAAAAAAACTATGCAAAAATCGGATTCATCTAGCATGTGCCACTTCTGATGATTGATGTTTGCATGTTTTTCCTATCGTTTTGAATTAGATTTCTTTTCAGTGAGAAAGTTATATCTGTTTTAAAGCTAACTCGTAAATATGTGTATAAAAATTCTAATAAGAATTCTCTGTGAAAATTGAATCACTTGCACATTTCTACTATAAATGCATTTCTTAATATCAGGTTTTATGTTGTTAAGTCAGTAAACCGATGCATCAAAAACCAAAAATGGGCAGACCAGATCAAATAACGAAAAATGCACTTTGATTCTAGACTTTATGCGACTTGAACACTAAAACTTTTCCCATAACAGGGTCTTTTTAGTGCTTTGGGAGAACTCGAAACATCACTTTGCTCGACCTTAAAAAAAGGTCGACAAAATTTTCAAAATTTTTCGAAAATCTCCCCCCCCCCCCCCCCCTTCGCGAAAATCCTAGATCCGCCCCTGATTATAATCCATTATAATGGATTATAGTCTATTTAAAATCCGTTTTAAATTATTATAATGGATTAAAATCTCTGTTTGTTTTGCAATTTCATTTGCAAAATTTGCATCATTTCTGCGTTTTCACGACCTACTTGCAATCCAGATCTACTCATTTTGAAATATAGGGCATTTTTACCGCTACGTTACCGCCCCCACGCTTACCCGAACCACACCCCCTCCCCCAGTTTACATCTCCCATATTTACCACCCCCACGTTATGTCCCCAACCCTTTGCCAAATTGCCACCCCCCCCCCCCCCCCACCGCATTTACACATTTACAAACCATCCCATCCCCTACATTTATTTACACATTTACCAATCCCTCGCTTCCAAATTTGCCTTTCCTCCACATTTCTACCCTTCCCCCACTCCCACATCCACAATCCCCCCTCACACACGTTTAGACTACCTCCCCTACTTTTATCCCTATCCCCAAGCCTGCGCCCCATTATATTGATTATAAAAGATTAAAATGGATTTTATTGATTTGACAAAAATTTAGAAAACAATCCAATTTTATAATAGATCTTGTGAGTTTTTTAGAGACAGACAATGAAAATCCATTATAAAGGATTATTATTCATGAAACTCCGGTGCGGGAATTCTTGCTGTAGTCTTTTTTATTTTAAGTATCGTAATAAAATTATTTCAAATGTAGTTTAGAATGCAAAAGAAGCTTCTCGTAAACTCTGTAAGTCTGTAGAACAAATGGTCTGAGCTTAGACTCTGCGCACTAAAGTTTCGTAAGATAAAAAAGTCAATTCCAAATTGTTCTGCCAGTTTTTTCTTTTCACGTTGCCATTCATAGTCTAAAACCCAAAGCTAGTTTTCAACCCGCATCCAAGTTTAGGCGTAAATAATCGATTATAACGGATTATTGTGATGATATTTTCAAGATTATAATTGATTATAAATACCAAAATTAGGTCTTTAAAGGATTTATTATCAATTATAATCGTGATATTTTCCAAAAGGTTATAATCTCCAAAAAGTTATAATTGATTATAGTTCCAACAGAAAACCTCTTATAATCGATTATAATCGATTATATAATCATAATAATAATATTAACAAAGGATTTAGGAATATAATCCACGGGTTCGCATAAAACCCAGTCACTGCATTGTTCAAAGATTAGTTTTCAGTTAAAAATGTATGTTTCTTCAGGTCTTTACAGTTGTTACATTCGCATAAAATGCGCCAAGTGCATGTGTCTGATTCGTTGTAGCGAGTTTTGAAAAACTTTGTGTACATTCCTAGAAGTCTGTTTTTGCATTCTGGGTCAATACGTCACATTTGAAGTATTCGTTGTACAGATTAGCAAGACGACATGCCCGAAACCAGAAATCCGACTCACACTTCTTTAGACGCATTTGTTTGCAGACGAAATTTCGTGTCATTTGAGCTCTTCGGTTTCCAATGTCAGTGATGCTTACATGGCTTCTCCAG